TAACCAAACCATTTGGTAAACTTTAGTCATTTGCATATTTTCTCTCTATGAGTACAAAGGATTCCAGCCTAGAGTGGAGTGACTTATCCTTGACAGCCTGGTAGCTTTCCCTTCCTGAACTCAGTAGACCTTCCCAAGATATGAGATCCTAAAAAATCTTCTTTAATTAAAGTTTTCCCTAGAATGAACATAGTCCTGTGAACATTTCTCATATCATTATTCACTGGGCACATTTGAGAAATGCATCTGTGTGTTTTGTAAGTTGTTGCATACAACTTCGGTTTCTGTCCACAGAGCCAGGCAAGGCCACAGTGTGGACCATCCGTGCGTGGTAGCAGCTGCAAGTTGTAAGCTGAGCATTATTCCACTTGTTTGAAACCACAGTGGGGTGCACCTGGAGGGTAATGGGATTCCTGGATATAAAAGCAGGAAATAGTTCAGCGAAATGGTTGACAAACTACAGTAATAATTTCATGCTCAGACATCCCAAGGCTCCTTCTGCTACAATGAATATATCAGGGAAGCTGTTGGGTATACAGATGCCTCTTTGTTCTTCAAAAAGTGCCCATGAAATCTTTGAGCCTTTCAATAATACAGTATTATAAAGGGTTTATATTTTATTTCTTCTTTCTAAAGACAAACACAAGACCAGGACAAGAAAACAGAAAGTTTAACCAAGACTTTTATAGAAAAAGGGAGAAATATTGTTTTGAGTTTAAATTCAATTCACGTGAAATTCAATGAAAAATGAATCCTTCTGAGTCTGAATTATGTCAAATCTGACCTTACTGGATGAAACCCAGGAAGACAGAAGGAGGTGAGAAGCTGAATTCCTCTCCTATCCTGGGAAAGAGTGTGTGGCTATAGGGGTGTGGACCCAGAACCTTAAGCCTTACTTTCTCTGTGACTCAAAGATATGCACGCTGGAGGCTCAGTCATGTGTGAGATGCCTGTGATGCATCTGTGCCACACATGCAGGGCACAGCAGAGCCAGGGTGACAGAGTTGGTAGGTAAGTTCTTGATGCACCTTCTCCAAGGCTGAGGAGAGCAAGAGATGTAGGAAAGGGATCAGAAAATCTACCTGGTGTAAGTCATGGCATGCGAATTTCCTCAGAAATACCAGGCAGCTGAGAGAAACTCACCCCCCCCCCATTTATTCACTCATTCATTCAGTCCCCAACAAATGCTTATTGTGACTTCAGAGATTCAGGTATGATATATACATTTAAATAAAGCCTTTTGTTTTATTAGCCGAAATTACTAACTTGTACATTTTTGGGGGCGTGAGCAGGCCATGTGGGTAGGAGCAGGAGTGGCGAGTCTCAGCAGAGACCCTTTGGCCCAGAGCCCACAGCGAGTCAGCAAGACTGCCTCCCTAGGCACAGTTGGCTGAGGTCTGGGCTGGTCTGGAAACCTCTGTTCTTGCCTTAGCTCTGCCCTTATAGGCACACCTCGAAGAACACACACTAGCAATCTGCTTTCATTTAAGGGACCATTACAATCATTACTCCTCCTTGTCCTTGTGTAGACTCAGTGTCAGCAAGGCTCCTTCATCCTCTGGGAGGAGAAGCAGAGTCAGGGCCCAGAAACCTGAACCAGTAGTACCTGTGTCTTGCAAGATAGAAGCAGTCTTCTCTCTGTGATGAGTCAGATACTCAGGATCCCTGCTGTGGAGGAGCTCACGGTCAAAAAGGAAACTCAGGAGAATGTCCAGATGCACAAAGGCTGGCCCTGAGTGGTAAAGGGGGAGATCTCAGTCACAGAAGAGCCCTTACGACTCAACCCACACTGCTAGGCTTTCGTCTCTTCTGCCATTCACTAGCATATGAGTGTAGGCAAATTGTATAAGTGGCCCATGCCTTGGTTTCCTTATCTGTAACCTAGGCTTAATAATAGCACTTACCTGATTTTAAGAATAAAATGCTGCTATGTGGAAAGTAAGTAAATGGCACTTGGTGCACGGATATGCTACCTTTGTATTATTATCTTTATTGGCTATATGGGTGTGCAGTGAACCCCCATCATTATGGAAGCCATGTTTATTGCTTAAAGCAATAGTGTATGAATCTCTCATTTTCTTTTGGGGCTTGCTTTGTGAAGAGAGTTTTATCTGAACAATAGCATGGGTAACACTTCTATTTAGAAATAGCATAGAGATGGTGTCTGCTCAGCAGGCCAGACTTCCCCCAGGCTGCTCAACTCCTCATTGGCAGATGGTCCCTGCATCCCTGCAGTTCCATAGGTGGATCCCCCATGGTGTCTGTGCCATGTTGCCCAGGAACTCAGCAAACCCTATCCCCTGTTCTTCTGGATCCCCAGGCACTCTGTCTTCAGTTTTGTGCTTCCTTTTTTGGGTTATTTCAAAATATGTTGTTTATGTGCTTGCTTTGGCAGCACATATAATAAAATATGTTGTTTATATTGCCTAGATTTCTAATGAGAAGAAAAGGGCTAATTAAACTGGAGACTTTCTGGAAGCTTAGCACCTTCCTCTGTAGGATAGCATCCTTATTTCTTTCTCCATGCCAACATCTGAGTCTCTCCCCAGCAATACTATTGTCTTTTAGTTTTTATTTTTATTTCCAGACTTCCCAGGACCTCTTCTCAGAGTCTCTGAGTATCTGTTTTCCCAAGTTGTTGACAAACACACCACCATGGGGTTCACTCCTGGTATTTAAATCTGGTATTTAAACAGGTACTCTTGGGGAACTTAAAATTGTGTACATGTTTGAGAGGATGGATAAGGGGATGAGACAGCCAGTTGTTAAATGCTGACAGCTTGAAATCAGCCATGGCAGGAGGATTTATATCCTGGAACTTGGCAATGGCAGAGCCCCACTTCCCTACTTTCTGGCATTTCTGACATGGGGGCTAAAGGTAAACCAGAGGTGTGTTTTCTCAGCTGTCTTCTTGGAAGGCTGGCTTATCGCCACCATACAATCCAGAGCTTTTCCATTTCCAAAACAACAGCAGCAACAGCAAAAAGATCTTTAGATAGTGAGATTCCAACACAGAAAAACAGACAAATCTTATCTTTGTTGCTCTACTAAACTAGCTTCTCAGGAAACTCCAGCTAGATGAATGAGAACAGAAGAGTAAAGAAAGTCTCCTGGGACCCATGAATGAGATACTCATTGCAGAGGCCAGTGTAGGTAGCTGAATGTCACCATAGTGAATCAGCTTACTCAAGGATACTTAATGGGCCCCAGCACGTTGTTGGTGATTGTCACCCTTACAGAAGGCCCAGGAAGCCTGAAGGATTCCTGCTTCCAAGCTACAGATTCACATTTCTCTATTTCTCTGGCCAAGCAGTAGGTACACGGCTTTCCATGTCCCTTTTCACAGTTGTTTCCTGGAGAGGATGAGCTGGTGGCTGCTTCATTTAGCAGTTAGCTTCCCACTGAATTATATATCACTGGGCAGGCAGGGATTGTGGTGCAGAGTAGTCAAATGAGTGCCACATCCCATTGCTAGGGTGCTAATGAATAGAGTGGAACATTAGTCCTGACTCAAAAGCAGCTGCTTTGGCTCCTTCCTGGAGACCCAAGTAGAACTGCAGCCTAAGTTGGCCACTGGAAACTTGTGGATTTGGCACTGGAAAAGAAGACATCAGCTACACATTAGAATCATCTGGGGGTATTTTGTATCCTCTCAGTGCCTAAGAAACACTTTAGACTAGTCACATTAAAATCTCTGCAGGTAGCACCCATGCATAAGGGGTTTTGAAATCTCCCCAGGTGATCCCAACCCTCAGCCAAGATTGAGAACCACTGTACTGAAGGGTGAAGACAAATAGTCAACCCAGATCCACCTGGTGGTTCCCATTCTGGGGCAGCACATGCCTTCTAGGTGCCTTTGGGGAAGATGAAATTTTGTTACTGCCACACCTGAGGTGGCTCCTACCCCTTAGGACATGAGGCCAAGGGCATTCAAATGTTTGTATTTTGTAGAAGAGTGCTTCACGATAGTAAATACCAGATCTCTGAGGAGTGTGTGTGTGTTGAAGGTGAGGCCAAACATACAGACTGTACCATGCTCTGTGGAGGTGGGGAGGCAGCCTGGTCAGCTTTGCGTTGAGATACTGATAATGCAGAAATAAAGTGTAGACACTGTCCCTGGAAAATCAATAACCTGCTTGCTGAGGCTTCTCCACAGGACTTGACTGGAGTGATAACACTGGCTCTGTGTGTGTGTAAAACAACCTGCAGAATCCTTTACCATTTTGTACCATTTCTTTCTTTTAGCAAAATCTTCCTGAATGTGAATGCAAATCTTGGCTGGGTGGTTGGATGGGAGGTGTGGAGGAAGAGGGATTGTGGAGATGACATTAGGCAGGACTGATGATGAAGGCAATGCCTTCCCACTTCCTTTATTTGGCAGATGCCACAAAATCCAGTTGGGGTCCCCGAGCAAGAGTAGATGAAACTAATTGGCCATCATTGACTGATTATCACATAGGTGAGCTGCTATTATAGGCAGGAAGTCAGCTTTGAACTATAAAAGTGTTGCATCTAAATTTAATTAGCCACCTGACCAGTGACAGGGACGCTGGCATTTCTGTCATATTTCTGGCATCTCTCCTTGAAGGATAACCATGTCTTGCACATCATGGCAGACATATCTCAACATCACTTGCCATAGCTTTCACCACCATGAGGAGTGTGGATATAGGAAGGGAGCGCTGAGATCCACCAAAGCTGCAGGTTCTCACTGGGCCCCTTTCCAAGCTCTTCCCGTGGGAGTTGGTCACACTCCTTGACATGCAGAGTTCTCTCTTGAGAACTTGATCTTACATCATCAGCTGGCTTTAAAAAAGCGTTCATGAGAGCCAAGAGTATAGCTCAGTAGTAGAGCATTTGCCTAGTGTGTTTCACTCGAACACCAGGTGAAAAAAAGTGTTCATGATCCACTATGAGGTCACAAAAGGCAAAGGATGCTGTGTGCTGGGGTCTGTTGACTTCAAAGCAAAAAGACCAGACTAGGGTTTCTTAGTACCAGCCACATCAGAATCAGCTGAGGGAGACTTAAAAGATATACCTGTGCCAAATTCCAACCCTTTACCATTTGAAAATTTCTGCCAGGGACCCAGGTATTACTAAAACCTATGAGTGGTGGCATGACCCCTGATAAACTACTTCCCATAGAATCTCCTCCTCTTCAGTGTGTATAGAAACTGAGCTACTTCTAACCATCAATTATGGCAAAGGTTATGTATATCATTCACAAAATTATGTTACATTATATGGAAAAGTTGAGAGATTTTGCAAATATAATTATGGTTCTTAGTTAGCTTTGGTTTAATGCAAAAAGAGATTTATCTTGATTGGACTTGACCTAATCAGATGAGCCTTTTACAAGAACATCTAGATCTTCCAGGAGGTCAGAGACTTAAGGCAGCATACTGTCTCTCTCTATTATGGGCTTTCAAAAACACACTGAATTCAAAGTGACTTTCTGAGGGAGCTTGGAAGCAGATCCCCTTCTGCGTAACCCTCCATCTGACTATATTCTCCTTGGCTTCTTGACTTTAGCCTTGTGCTAGTCTAAGTAAAGGACTCATTCAGGCCATGCCTAGCTTTCTGACCTGCAGAGCTGTGAGGTAATCAATGGGTATGCACAGGCAGGGAGTACAGCCAAATAACCATTTCACACCACAATGCCAATAAGTCACAAGATTCCTTGTTCCCAAGTCTGGGGTGTTCTTTCCTAGCACTAAACTGCCCCTCTGCCTTACAGAAGCAGCACTTTACAAAGGATCTAAAACATTCTTTCACATTTAATCACTCCAGCAACCTTTTAAGGTAGGTGCTGTATATCTCTATGTTTAAAATTAGGAAAATGAACACCAAGAATTTAACTTACCCCAAACCACACTGGCAGAGCCATGATTCAAACTAGGCAGCCTGGCCTCAGCAGCTATTCTCTTAATCCTTATACAATGGCTCTGAAGAGGACTTCTGGTGAAGCAGTAGCTTACTGACCCAGAGTCCCCACTGCCACCCACAACATCAGATTAAGTGGTTCTGGGAGGTCAGAACTGCTGTGCTTGAGATCACTTATGTTGAGTAGATTGAAGAGCTCACCAGCCCAGCACCAGAGCTCAGCTCCTTCTGCTCAGTTTTCCTGTTTTTTTTGTTTTTTTTTTTTTGTCTTCTACAGTGGATAAGTGACTAGAAGCAGGTAGCTGCAATGATTTGCAAATGTGGTTAACAAACCCCTCCATTAGGGACTAACCAGAACCCACTTTGATCCTTTAATTATGAGCCAAAGAAAGCCATTCTTTCTACTAGAGGAAAGATATTTACACTAATTTATAGAGGCCAGTGTGAGCTCCCCCAAGTAAACAGAATTACAGTCAAATTGTGAGGTTTTTAGAGACAAGAAGGAAGATTTAAGCTATTGAAAGAGTGGAAAATGTCTCAGTCACATATAGCATCTGCATTTTAAACTCCTCAGGTTTTTCTGTGTCATTCATTATTTCCTCTCACCTAGATCCAAGTTCTCCTACCTATGAGGACCAGCTCTTGATATACTTGTCGTATGGGTAGGATTATTCTTTCTTTTATTTGTCTGAAACATTTTTTCTGGGGCATCAAGAACACAGCTTGATTCCACTGTATAGGGGCTGGAGCTAAGCTATGGCTGTCCCTTCATATTTCTCATGATTCTATATAGTTTAAGCATATTTTTCCCTGAAATGAATATTTCTCTTTCTTTAGGGGCAATAGGACTGAAGCCTTCCCATGCCCAAAGCTCTCCTCTGAGGGGCCGTTGGAGTCTGAAATCCAGTCTCATCTCTACAGGTCAGGTTGGACGTCCCTGGGTGGTCTATGTTTGGCTGAAGGAAAGGGCTTCTGTTTCTAATTCACACACAAGAGCAGAGTATCAGCGATAATCTGTTCTTACATGACAGCAATGGAAAATTCCTCCTTAAAAATAACAAAAATTTTAAATCTTTACTTGTGTAAAGAGTGTCTTGTTTTCAAAGAAATTCAAAATTCTCTCTGTATGAAAGAAATGAAGCTCCCCAAGTCATACAAATACACAGAAATTTTATTGAAACAATATTTCCTAGTTAATATCTTCATCATAGAAACTATCTTTGCTCCCTTAATGCCTATGTATACTTGAGTGAAACTACACCTTTTATCTCAGCCATACATATAATTTCACTGAGAAAAGGTTTGTTTTTTGATTATTAGACACAAATTCCGTTCAAGAAATTATATAGTATACATGCAACAAGTCAATATTTAAAAATGATTGGGCAGTATAGAAACTAGCTTATTTCTAAAATAGTCTTCCCAGCTCTCAAAATAGTGTAAGGAAAGGTAATATTTAGTGGTTGTTGTGAAGATGTTGCCTTGAAAAGCATGGTTCCCTGAATTGCTTTTATTTTTAGAAAATAATATGAATTTATTATTGACCTCCTGTGCTGGAAAAACTTTTGTCTTGTTTCCTAGTAGGTGTACAAATCAAAGATGGTAATACTGTATTGCTTGACATCAAAAATAGTCAGATTTGTAGAGGTATGGTTTCATACAGTAAATTAAATCTTGATAAAGTACAGTGCAATGACTATGACAAATCCTTATACTTGTGTAATGATGACCACAATCAAGATATAGAACATTTCCTTTACTGCAACATATTCCTCATAGTTAACCTTCAACCCTTTCTCCAACCCCTGTCATTCACTGACCTGTTTTTATGTCCCATGGCTTTGTCTTAACTGGAGACTGGATAAAGAAGATGTGGGGTTTTTTAAAAAATAAAATGGAGTACTACTCAGCCATAAAGAATGAGAAACTAGAGACATTTATAGCTAAGTGAATGCACATTGAGGCCATACTAAGTGAAATAAATAGGACACACATGTAAATACCAAATAGTTTCTCTGGTGTGAAAAACTAAAAGTGTAAATAAGGATCAAAATGTATAATTGATATTATGAAATAGGAAGAAAGGGTCTAAAGGAATAGGGGAAATGGGAGGGATAGGGGAAAGGAAAGAAGGGGAAAGAAAAAATATGAGAAAAGGAAAAAAATGGAAACAAATTATTTGTAAATAGGGAAGGGTGGAGGGGATGAAGGGAGGGCAGGGGAATAGGGAAAAAATAAGAACGAGGATACATCATGTAAATGTACGAGATCCCAATGATAAATGTAACTATATTGTATACCTAAAATGTACCAATAAATAAACTTAATAAAAAATGTCATATATAAGTGGAATCACATCATATACAGTATTTGGGTGGTGGTAGAATAAAGCATTTGAGGACTTGATGTTAGGCCCAGAGTTCAAGTAAGAGAAAATTTGTCTCTCTCTAGCCTGTAGGAGATGAACCCCATACAAGGAACATCTCTTAGAGGAAAAGGGGTAGAACTTGTGGTAGTGAGGGCTGGAAGGGGAGGGTCCCAGGTATAGGCTTCATTGAGAGGGCTTCGACCTGGGTATTTTAAGGGCAGCCAGCCATAGCTAGCATCCAACTTCAAGTTCCCTGTACTACAAGGGACTACTACAAGTTGTACTACAAGTTCCCTGTGTCTTCAGTTTCTCAATAAATCCTAGGTATCCCTGGATCTGTACTCTGGATGAAGCAGAGAGCAGCAGCAGCACGGTCTTGTGTGTGTGTGTGTGTGTGTGTGTGTGTGTGTGTGTGTGTGTGTGTTTTGCAGTTGGAGCAGAGCTCAAGATCAAGATGACAGGGAAACACCCTCCAGGGGATGTAATGAAACACCTGGGGGAGAAACCATAGGAAAGAGAGCACCTTCTGGGGGCAAGCAAATAGGAGCATGGTTTAATGTCATTTGGCATTAAGAAGAAATAGGACCTTTGAAGTCTGGAATGTCAGGATTCTACAAACTCTAGGAGTCAATTTTTTTTAATTGATGGGTATATCTGTGTAGTGGTTGGGGTGGAATTCCAACTTGATTGGCTTTGAGTTCCACCCCAAGGTATGTCTGTGTGGGTCGTGGAATCATGGTCTTGGGGTCTATGTCTTGTCCCTCATTCTGCTGTAGTACTGTTGCCCTGCTCTGCTTCCCAGCCACAATAAGCAGCTTTGCTCTGCCATGCCCTTCTATCATGAAGTTCCTGTTTCAGAGGAAGCCAATCATGGACTGAAACCATGAGCAAATTAAACCTCTGTTCCTTTAAATTGTGGGTGTTGGGTACTGTATTCCAACAACAGAAAGTAATTGTTACAGAAAATGGTACCAGAGAAGTGGAGTCATTGCTGTGACCTCTACCTGACCACAAGATTTAGAAGATTTTGGAACTGATTTGTGGGAGGACTTTGGAAAAGCCCTTTAATGCTGTAAGCAGAGCCTGGTGAGTGATTCTGGTCAGAACTCAGAAGCCCAGAATGTTGATAGGAATGTAGATAGTAAAGGCCAGGCTCAGGAGGCTTCAGTTGGGAACAGGGGCAGACATCACTGGCAGTTGAACTAGAAGCCATATGCATTACACTCTGGAAGAAAATTTGTCTACATTCTGTCCATGTCTTAAGATTTTCTGGGAGACTGAGATTAAGAGCACTAAGAGACAGTGAACTAATTGATCGGGTGGACCAAATTTTAAAGCAGCCCAACATTCAGGCTGTGGCATGGTTACTGCGGGCTGCTTTTATCCAGATTTATAGTGAGAATCAGAGGCAAAAGACAGAGCAGAAAATTTTGAAAAACTTAAATTTTGGGATAGCAAAAACTATGTGTAAAGGTGGGGACAAAGGAAGTGTGGCTTCTAATGAAATTAGTGCCATTAAAAAGAAAGAAAGTATTTCAAGAAGAAAGAGCCTTGAAACCATCTGAGAAATCCAAAAGATCCCACCCATGGCAGGTTTAAGGATATAAAAGTGTCTACTTATCCTTTGGGAAGAGACCCTAGGATCCTTGTTCAATGGCAATAGAAAGATTTCATTTTCATAACATACTACTATTGATACTTTATT